GAGTGAACCAAGTCCTCGAGCAGTATCTCCACTGCTTCCTGAATTTCGATCAGGATGACTGGGTGGACTTTTCCCCCTTGGCAGAGTTTGCTTACAACAACACGGACCACTCCTCTACAGAACTAAGCCCTTCCTTTTCAAATTATGAGCAGCATCCACGAGACCACCCAAGCATACCTCCCTGGTGCCTGCAGCTGCCAATCACCTTCAGTGCCTACACACCACACAGGTGAAACTCCAGCAGCACTTGAACCAAGCCATGGCCGCCTATAAAGTGCAGTCAGACACTATTATCTCTCTACTATTTGCAGCCATTTCCTCCACAGAATAAAAGCCTTTACAGAACTCTGAAAGCTCTTTCAAGACCATGATGCAATAATAAAAGAATTTTGGTAACTACTGTATATCATCCTTACTAAATTAAAGGGAAACCTTTTTTAAATCAAGTTTCAAGTTCCAGCTGATGGCAGCATGGAATGTCACCGTTTCATTTTTATATTCAGAGTAAATGTCAGTAGAAAAAAGAAAATGGGTTCCAAAAATGGATGTGGCATAGAAGTAGCAAACTTTGCCATTTGTTTGTTATTTTGAAGGTGTGATTTTAACAGTACTGCTCCTCAGGAATTTGAACCCAGGTCCCCTGAGTCATTGTATGACACTCTATCCACTCTACCATATTGACACTCAGCTCTGTTTTTACTGTTCTTGAAATAAATACTATATTCTGCAAGTGTATGATCTATGGGCAGATTATCACAGAGGAACCAATCACAGTATCAGATTAGAATGAGAAAATGCAGATTAAAATCTCCACTTGATTTTATAAATAATAATGGAAGCTATGTTCATTTTGGGAGCACTATTTAGTCTTGGTGGCTCTTAGAACCAAAAATTACATCAACCCAGTTCAGACACAGCACTAAACAGATGGATTGTTTTACCCATGGTTTGTTGAATAAGCCAGGAAGGAACAGTAGTTGGTTTCCCACAGTGTTGGTTTGTTGCCACCTCTGCCTCTTGTAAGAAAACTAAGTTTTTACCTTGAAGCCCTATGAATTAGCCAAGGACTGGCAAGGCGTCAACCCTAGTTTCCTGACTGGCTTATTGCAGAAATGCAGAGGGGAACAGAAATGCTCTCCTACTGGAGAGTTGCAGCTGCTCAATGCACTTTCAAAGGTGCCCTCTATCAAATCTTACACTTTCCCCTTTTCCTTACCCTTTTCCAGCCAACCCTCCCCAAAATCCATTTTCCCACTAGAAGCTTTCTGACCATAAATAGTAAATTTTTTATGCAATATGCTAGCAGTTCAAGGTTTCTTCCAAATTCCTGCAAAAGGTGATTAATCAAATTAATACCAGGATATTAAGGGATGTTGAATAGTTGATTAAAGTATGAACAAAAATCCCTTTTATTCCACAAAATAGTTTTAAAAATCATTTCATCAAAATGCTGTTTCAGAATCACAAACTAGCTTCAACTAGTTTCGGATCTGCACTTTTTGTCCCCCAAAAAACTATTATGTGGAAGCCAGATTGGGTTTGGGTATATAAATAAACCATAGATTAGCTAAACACACTGGAGATTAGCATTACATTGGAAAGTGGAACATTGGCTAACATTAATGCTTCCATTTTCTAGAATTAAGTTCTCCTTTAAAATATTCAGCAAGTGACTTTGTATGAATAATGTTTTCCATTTAAACACTCAACAGTGGCGTTTAAAACCTGCCATGCACAATATTTTGTTGCCAGCATAACTATGTTTGTGAAAATACTTCACTCTTTATTTGTTTGTTTGTTTGTTTGTTTGTTTTAAAATTTTTGTCCTACTCATCTAGTGACCAGGCCACTGTTCTGGGTGGCTAACAAATCATAACAAGAAGTTCCAACTAGAGCCATGGTTCCCAACCTTGGGTCCCCAGATGTGCTTGGACTATAATTCCCAGAAATACTGGCCAGTTCAGTTAGTAGTGAAAGTTTCTGGGATTTCAGTCCAAGAACATCTGGGATCCAAGGAGGAAAACTACTGGACTAGAGTGAGTCAGCATTTATCAGAACAGAATGTACTGCTTAATGGTGAGTCAACACTTATATAAATCCCAGCAATTCAACAAGTCTCCTCTTCCTGGGACTACTAACAGGATTCAGGGTAGTCCTCTTGGCCTCTCTTTCCACCCCCGGGCAGCATGAGTTGGTAGGCTGCAGATGAGGTAGAAAATCAAGAGTAGTGGCTCTGCTACTAGTTAAGTGAGATAGAAATGCAAATCAAGAACAGACAACCTTTGACCAAATAATGTTAACATCAGATGATAGATTAATTAGGAAAATATATAAATTTCTTTTAAATTGGAAAATCGAGGACAAACAGGTCAAAGAAATGATGGTTCAATGGGCAAAAAAAACTGGATATAATATTGACTTTGAAAAATGGCAAAAAACTGTGGTCTAGAACAGTGCTCCCCAACCTTGGGCCTCCAGATGTTCTTGAACTTCAACTCCCAGAAGCTTTCACCACCACCTCTGATGGCCAAGATTTCTGGGAGTTGAAGGCCAAGAACATCTGGAGGCCCAAGGTTGGGGACCACTGCTCTAGAAACTATAAAACGACAATGGCAACATCTTATAAAGAGAATTTATATAAAATGTTTTATAGATGGCATTTACCATCCGATAGATTAGCTAAAATGTATTCTAACAAGTCAAGTAAATGCTGGAAATGTCATTAAAAAACTGGAACTTATTATCATATTTGGTGGACATGTGATAAAGTAAAATTTTTTTTGGAAAAAATACATAAATCGCTTGTTAAAATAATCAAAAAACATGTAGATTTTAAGCCAGAACTCTTTCTATTAGATATAATACCAGATAGTGTTGATAAACAAAATGTATATTTAATATTGAATATTTTAACATCCTCAAGGATAATATTTGCACAATATTGGAAAAATGAAGAAACACCTACAGATCAAGAAATAATTAAAAAGATATTGGACTGCACTGAAATGGATAGACTGACACTGAAAATCAAACTTCATTGCTCCCTGCTGGGTCTGCTCATTAGCACTCTCCTGGCCATTATGTTACATCATCTTTCTTGTATGAGGCCCCCCCTCCGATGTTTAAACTTGTTCTAACTAGCAATGGCAGAAGGGACATTAATTAGACAAAGAGCTTATCATGAACAGTTGGATAAGGAGGACCACAAGACCCCTGAGCTGGGGTCTACTCTTTTCAGAAAGTTATCATGCAATAAATATGAGTGGGTAAACACGCAGAGTTAAATTTCCATGTTTACCCAGAAGAGTACACTTTCTTTGAAAGATTATTTGTTTTTGTTCAACTAAATAGCCATTCGTTTCTTCAGGAGAAGCAAAATTTCAAAGAAAAAAAAGAATTTGAGGAACATACTATTTTTTAAAAGGTCCAAAGAATGATTTTTTTTCTCTCACAGAAACATGGTTTTCTTTTGGTTTTCCCTTTCATATCAAAAGACAACTTGAGTTAAATTGAAGTCATAATTTAAAAAATGAACAAAAGTGGAAGAGAACTGGGGGAATGCAGTCATCTCTCAAACTCTCTAATCCCAGCAAATTTAAACAGAGGAGTTACCTCTATAATTTCAACATTATCAAAACAAAGAAGTGAAAGATTCTATGCAAGATATACCACAGAGAAGCAGATTTTAAAAATGTGACCTTAGGATAAGGTAAAGGTAAAGGTTCCCCTTGACATTTAGTCCAGTCGTGTCTGACTCTGGGGGGGGGGGGCTCATCCCCATTTCCAAGCCATAGAGCCAGCGTTTGTCTGAAGACAGCTTCCGTGGTCACGTGGCTAGCGTGACTAGACACGGAACGCTGTTACCTTCCCACCGTGGTGGTATCTATCTACTCGCATTTTTACATGCTTTCAAACTGCTATGTTGGCAACGACTGCTGGAAGCGACGGACGCTCACTCCGTCACGTGAATTCGATCTTACGACTGCTGGTCTTCTGACCTCGCAGCACAGAGGCTTCTGTGGTTTAACCCGCAGTGCCATCACGTCCCTGACCTAAGGATACACCTATTCAAAACAGGATATAAAGATGAAATTTCATCAGGCATCATCTACAGTTTTGTTTTATTTTAATTCTTTGGCTGAACAGAACGCAAATGATCTAGCAGAATAAAAAACACAAAACACACAAATAATTAATTCCACAAAATACAGGGCAGAAGGTTTCTCTGCTTGATAAGGAAGCCTTTGATCTTAAAAACAACAACAACAAAAGAAGCCTTAAGTTTACGGGGTTCTGAGCTTCAGATGTTGAGGTCAAATCCAATTTTAACACTATAAAATCTTAAAACACGTGAACCCATTCCTAACATGATTAGTTCAATGGACAAACAACTAGCAAAGGTTAGGACTTACTGGAAAGTTCCACCAACTGTCACCTGACAGGGTGGCCTTAAACTAATCATCATTTTCCAGTCCCTCATCTGAAAAAATGGGGCTAGTAGCACTGGCCTGCTTTTCTAGGAAGTGCTGTGAGGTCATCTGAGACGTGATTGCATGACAGTACTTTAACAAATGCTAACTTACTATCATGATCTTAACATCCACTGAATTTTGACTAGGTATAACTATGAAAATGTAAATATAAATATTGAAATTCCATAAAATCATAAATCTATTAACATATAAATAAATATAAAGCATACAAATCCATTAAAATATAAACAAAGTGTATTGTTTTATTTTTATTTGGTCTTGCACTATACCAGGGCTTGATTCCCACCACTTCTTACACAGAAAGGGAACACCAAAAATCACAGGTAATTATAGATATACAGTATATAGCCCTTTTCCTGCCCCCTCCTTTACTCATCTCCTTTGATTCTCTCCAGAAATAGAAATAAAAAGCATTGCAGGAAAAACTGAAAGGAACATTACGTAGGTCAGATACATTGATACAGCTTCAGCACAACATCCAATAAACAGAAGTGGTGAGAAGACTACCTGTGAGAAATGAATAGGCTGCTAGGATATTGCTAAGCAAAGCCATCTCGGTGCTGGTACTCTCAGGCTCCATACTTTCGTTGAACGCTTGCTTCTGCGTCTCATCCACTGGAAGGACTGGTTGTTTAGTGGATAAAAGGTAGCAGACTTCTGCTGCTGATGCTTCTCTGTTTGGAAGACAAACAAGTAGGGGATAAAGCACACCTGATCCTCTAGAGCACAGCATTGAAGAAGAGCTTTCCTTCTGCCCTTGGAAACCTGCAGCTGGGAACCAAAACCATTCCTGTGAAATGTTTAGGCATGAAGTTTGCCGTTTGACTTTAGCTGACTGCTCAAAAAGCACCTCAGGCAACGACTGTGCTTGCTTGCTTGCTTGCTTGCAAGCTGGGTCTGTCCTTCCCTAGTTTCCTTTACTTTCAAATCACCAGTTAGACACACCCAGATGATTTACAGCATATATATAATCAGAGGCCTTTCTTTTTCTTTTCTTCCCATTTTGAAGTCAAAGGCACCTTTATTGGGCTGTTCCAGCAAACTTGTAATAACTCTTTGGGGATCTACAAAAAACAGCCTGCGGCAAGCAGCAGAGTTTTGGCCTCTGACTAATTCTGTAATCCAGGAAGAACACCTGGCAAACGGTCCCCCATTTCTCACATCCTTTATGACAAACAGAGGGAAGATTTGAAATTCGCCGTAACACTTCTCAGAGGAAGGTGTATTCTTAATGTTTCCTCTTTAGCAAAAAAAAAAAGTGCGATGAACATGAGTTAATGATTGGATTTTATTTGCTTAAGTTTTGTATATGAGGAAACGGTTAATTTCTTAATCCTGAAAGAAACCCTTTGAGACCTTCAGAGCATAACCAAGATCTGTGTGCAGACACCATAGCCATCACTGACAAGGTCAAGGGTTTGAAACCAATTGGAATCTATGCAAAAAGTAGTTTTCAGCTGGCTGGCTGGCAGGCAAGCATTTTTAAAACCCCTTTCCCTATGACAATCTGACATTTCCAGAAAGGCAATTTCATTTTGCTTCTGCTTATCCACTGGCATTGACTTCAAGGTATTGACTTCAAGCATGGGCTTGTGTACCAAATTCTTTTCATTCAGTGCTCTTGTGTACAAAATGACTGCATTTGTACATATTTGCTATAATTTCAGAATTTATGCTCAACATGAATGTAGTTATTGAGCAAATGCAAAAAAAAAAATCACACACACACACACAACAGTGAGTTACAGGATTTGTTGGCCTGATCAATTTCTTCCAATGCTGAAATGAGAAATATATCCTATATCAGATTCAATGCAGAAAGGCAACTGGACAATTCTTAACAACAACTGATCATGCTTTTGTTTACACACATACCCTCCCTTTCAAATTCCCATTTAAATTGAACTAGTGGGCATTTGTTTCTTTTTTCCAAGGAGAAGTCTTTAACCATCATGAAAATTGCTAATAATAATAATAATAATAATAATAATAATAATAATTATTATTATTATTATTATTGTTGTTGTTGTTGTTGTTGTTGTTGTTGTTGTTGTTGTTGTTGTT